ATAAGTATTGTTGGGATAATGAAATATGAGTTGTTTTTTTTAAGCATGATAATCAAGTTACGAAATCATTAGTCCTAACCTTTCGATCAAATACTCATTTTTAAGATGGAACCAAACTGACTTGATTGCATCTCTTTCAAGAGTGCTTCAAGCTAGCATCGAAGAGTTAGGCTGACTCGGAAATTGTTGATTGCATTGCCAACATCAAAACGAGCAGATCGCCAAATTGTGCAATTGATGTGGTTTAACCTCCTTTTGGCAACAGGCTCAGGTTACGCTAACTGATACTGTTAAGCGTTAAACCGTGGACTTGGTACATCTCAGATGTCTCGCCGGCGTCGTAGCCCGCATCGTAAGTGAGTTTTATCAATCTAAGCCAGTAACTTGGCGCCAGAATTGCCGGGACGTACCGGTAATACCGACTAATCTGCAAATGAAACATCTGACAATGTATCATTTGTATAGTCCGACGCTGTAAATTGTCATAACTACTCCAGCAAACGTCTTAAAACAGGATGAATTCATCCAGGTCCTCCTCACGACACGAAGAAGTTGTGACCACAAGACCAAAACATTTATTGAAATTGCAAGAAATGACCAACTGCTATTTGACCAAGAGACACCACAACCCGAACGGAGGCCACATCATCGTGATCTTCATATCTGCGATTCGAGCGAGAGTAGACTTCGAAACTATTTGTAGATTATTTCTAAGATCTATAGCTAGCATAGTCCACTTTTGGGTGAGGCAAGGAGAAACGGAGCTTCTCATAAACAAACTAGACGAAAGCCATCCGATCCCGTTGAACTTCACCGAAAATCACCTTCCAAAACGCTTTCACAGCCAAATTGTACAGCAGTTTTGGCGTTGTTTCGGTCACTTCAGCTGCGAAAATAGAAGAGAAAACCACTCTTCATCAACTTAAACGAAATAGGGTGAATACTTGTCATACTTATGAACGTAAAATAGAATATCATTCCGTCTGACAACAGCATAATTTTAGTGGTAGATCTAGGCCTATCGCATTGACAACCGAAAAATTAAACAATCTGCTCTTACATTACCCTCTATGAGCTCTCATTCAAGACCTCATCCACAGCTGTCATAGCAAATTAATGTCAAGATAAGTTGGGTCTTGGAAACAACACAAATAAGAGGTGAAAATGAGGTCAAAATAATTCCCACTCATTTTGTTTATAGTCAACCATACAGCTTCTTCCAGGCAAGAATAAGCTCCATTTGTTGATATTACTTCCATTCGAAGGTCGATTCCACCAGAAAACGAGGGCGGATTCCTCTTGACCAAATGTCGATTGGCTT